GACTTACCAACGTGACAAACTGCGCGAATTTCGAGCGAAGGCCATTCGCAAGATTTGTTATGGATTTGGCAGCAAGCGCCGACACATTGATATTGGCATCATTGGCCAGAACCTGCAAGCAGTCCTTCCTCTATGCCTCCGAGCCTTAAACAGTGCACTGAGCAGCAGCAGCAGCACAACATCACCAAAAATGAGTTCAGCTCAGTCACGCTTGTGAACAGCTACTGCTCAAGCAAGCCGGGCACTCACCCGAGACTGCGACCTCATACATACATACATACATTATATACATACATACATAAATAGTGCGTGTCGCTGCACTGGCTTACATTGCGAAGGCTTTGCGTCAGGTTAAAGTAGTCGGCTTTCGGATCGAGCCTCGGTGCTTTTGTAGTCTCATCAACCAGAGCCTGCAGAGCATCGCGTCGCTCCTTCCAGTTCTTCGACCGAAGCCAGTCATTGAACTGCACCGGCAATTCCCCCAGTATATCCACCTGAAACAGCACGTTTCTTGTAAGCGCCAGTCGCAGCGTGCTGCAGCCAACTTACTACCCCGCAGCCCGGAATCGGGCAAAGTGGCCCATCCAGAAAAACACAGAGACTGAGCCGAAGGTGCCGAAGGAGAAAAGCAAGTAGCACAAACCTCACTCTGCGAGTTCCTATCGACCATTGCTCCTGAAAGACAAGTTCAGTCCCAAACAGAAATAAAAGCTCGGCAACCGGCGCCAGCGTTTCGCGGAATATTCGTTTGAGGCAGCAGCGGGCCAGGGAGCACTACCCGGATACTTCAATGCACTGACAGACGACGGGGGAAAAAGAGCTGGGCGCAAGAAAGCTGGCAGGCCGAACAGATGCCAGCTTTATCAGAGGGATGCGAAGAGCCGAGCGAGAGCGAACTGCCCCACCGAACAAATTACCATTGCAAAAATTCAAAAAAACGTGATAAATTTGAGCGCAAAGAAGCGGAAACGAGAAAAGACGTTAAATGGGGCCGCGGCTGGTAGCGTGACACGCAGGATAAGTAAAACGCCACGCGGAAACGTCTTCAGTGACTCGAAACAGCTGGCGCACACGAAACATCCGTAGGGCGAGAACGAGTGAGGGGGAAACCCGCGGCACTGCCGCTGCCGCTTTTACCGCGCACACCGAGATGTGGAGAGAGGAAGGAGCCCCCTCCCAGCAGCTTCGAGCGACTCGCAGCACGATGAGGTCACACCGATGCCGAATGCATTGGAACGGAGAGTGCAGTGAGTGAATGACAGAAGCATGGGCAAATGGGGGTCGGGACACTGGCACCGGTCGGCGCCTTCCAGGCCGGGCACTGACCCACTTCTGGAACACGACAGATTGAACAACGATGGCCCGTCAACAGAACATTCCAGCAATGACAAACCGCGCAGTTCCCGGCCCGAACAGCGGGCCAGACGAACTCCAGTGGCGATCCAGCAGGAGAGCGGTAACTTGCCGCGGTTTGTGGAGCCCGGCTTTACGAGCTGCGAAAATCAGTTCTGTTACTTGCGAAGTCCGGACGGACTCCTTCCTGAGCTGACTTCGAAAGAGTGAACTGAACACCAAACTGGCAAAGAAAGCCGCGATTTGGAACTGCATTATTTTTGGTTTTACAAATGTTTATATGTCCGAACAGAGTTAAATAGCGGCGCGTAACAGGGCAGTCGGTGCGATCATGCGTTCTACGCCTAAGGATTCCCAACGTTTCAAACATTGGTCTGTGCAGAAATTGTTGAAATGTTGTTTTGTTCCTAGGTTGCGGTTTTCCACTAAAAATTTTACGTGCCGATACGTGAAAACTAAATTTCAAACCTTGAATGCTGACCATCTCAAAATTCTCAACCTCCTAGTTTTTGGCTTTCGAGTGGTTTTCGCACCAAAACTTTCACGTGGTCATACGTGAGACCTCTGCATACTTAGAAACTAAATTTGAGTTCGTGAGGCCCCTGCATAGACAGGAAACATCCTCCAGAAATTTTCAGCCTCCTAACTCTTCTGACTCCCGAGATAATAACTTTTTCCCACCAAAACTTTTACGCGGATGTTGAGACCCAGGCGCTGGTGAAGGCTAAAATTAAATTTGCGAGGACACACATGGGCGGGGAACATTCCCATAAGCTTTTTTGTGGTTCCCGAGTTGAAAGTTGCGGGCAAAATGCATCGGATAGATACATACACAAACAAACAATACAGAGACAACCCTGTGACAATATGCGTTTTGTGCAGCTGTTGCATAGCACAAAACGCATAATAAATAGCGACGCGCACCAGGGCAGCCGGTGCGATCATGCGTCTTGTGCAATTCCTTTCACCGAACGATTGCCTGCTAATGATTTTCACTGCTTTGTACTTTGGTTTGTGCAAAAATAGTTAAAATGTTGTCTGGTTCTTAAGTTGCGGAATTTCCCGCTAAAAATTTTTGTGTACACGAGATAATAATTTCTCTATCAAAACTTTCACGGGGCTGTATGTGGTACTCAGGGTTTCGTGAAGGCTGAGTTCAAATTTGCGAGGTTGTACGTTTGTAGAGGAAATCACCCTAAAATTTGAGATTCTCAACTTCCGTGATTGCCGAGATAATAATTTTCCCCACCGAAACTTTCACGGGGCCGTAAATGATGCTCGGACACACGGAAAACTGGATTCAAAATTGCAGGATTGTATGTAAACAGAAGACATTACCATAAAATTTCAGGTTCGTGGCTTTTATGGCTCTCGAGATAATAATTACCCCGCCAAAATCTTCACGGGACCGTAGGTGATACCCAGGAGCGCAGAAATGCTGAATTTAAATTTGCGAGGTCGTACGTGAGTAGGGGTCATTATCCCAAAATTTTAGCTTCCTGAATCTCGTGGTTCCCGAGGTAATAATTTGTCCGCCAAAACTTCCACGGAGCCGTATATGTTACCCGCGGGCACGGAAAGGTTAAGTTTAAATATTCTAGGTCACGCGTGAGCAGGGAACATACCCATAAAATTTCAGGTTCCTAGGTTCCGTAGTTCCCGAAATAATAATTTATCCGCCAAGACTTCCACGGGACCGTAGGTAGTACCCGAGAGCGCGGGAACGCTGAATTTGAATAAGCAAGGTAGAGCTTGGGCAGGAGACTATTACACTAAAATTTCAGCTTCGTACATTCAGTGGTTCCCGCGATAATAATTTACCCGCAGAAATTTTCACGGGGTCGTCGTGTTACCCACGGGCAGGAGAAAAATGAATTTGAATAGGAAAGGTCAAGCGTGGGCAGGAGGTCATTACCTTAAAATTTCAGCTTCGTACATTCATTGGTTCCCGAGATAATAATTTACCCTCAAAAATTTTCACGGGGCCGTTCGTGTTATCCGTGGGTAGGAGAAAGCTGAATTTGAATAGGCAAAGTCGAGCGTGGGCAGGGGGTCATTACCCTAAAATTTCAGCTTCGTACATTCAGTGGTTCCCGTGATAATAACTTTATCCGCCAAAACTTTTACGGGGCGATAAGTGTTACCCGCAGGTACGGGGAGGCTGAATTTAAACTTGCGGGGTCACACGTGGATGGGGAACGTTCCCTTAAATTTTCAGCTTCCTACCTTTTGTGGCTCCCGAGTTGAAAGTTGCGGACAAGGTGCTGCGGACACACACACACACACACAGACAACCCCGTATATGTGTGTTTTGCGTTTTGTACTGCTGTTACACAGC